AAATGAAATAAAAATCACAGTTTCAGAGAATCAAAATTAGACAACTGCTGAAAGACAGATCACTTGGTTTGACAAAAAAAAAAAAAAAAAGAAGAAGAAAAGTTAATGTCAAAATGGATTAAAATTAAGTTTAACAACATTCTATATAATGCTACATTCCCCACTTAAAAGGAGAGTTCACATATGCAACTAAATGTTAAGTGTAGAGAAGTGGCTAAAATTCTGCATATTTCATAGTAAATTATGCATGAAACTTTATTAGTTGCATAAACTTCCTGAGTGGCTCCCATGCTACACTAGGTCTATATGCTTAATATTCATATCAAACAAATTACAGCTTTAGGTGATTGAGCATGACAGACCTTGAAAAACTGCACTTTCTAATTAGTCACTGTATCTGCTGAGGGTGTGTTCTAGACCACAAACTTCAATCACAAATCTTAAATTACACTGGAAAAGAAATGCAACTTAAAATAAAAGCTATCAGATGATAAGTACACATTTAGGAGTTTATTTTACACTGGCACTTTTTTTCCTCAGAGCCCAGTGTCTCCCTTCTTCCTTGACTTTTAGCCGTTTTTTGTTAATTAAAAAGAAAACCTTCCAGAATGGGAGCTGCTGGTTTGTATACTCTTTCAGATATCTCAGTTGAAAGTAACTTTAGTGAAACCTAGTTACTATCCCAGTCTCCTTCATATGTTGGCTGTCAAGGTCCCTGGGCAATGTTTGTGTTTATCCTTCATATACAAAGACTATTTCCAGGGTGACCTGAAAGCATTTGGCTCCATAAAAATTTCATACTAATCTCACTTCAAATGATTTTACCAAGTTTGAATGTCATCATTTTACAATCTAGATTGTTTTTCTCAAAAAAATTTCAATCCTGGAAATAACACTTATAAAATCAAAGACCTTTTCTACATACTGCCCCCCTTTCCCCTTCATCTTCTAAACAAAGTAGGGGGGACAAGTCCTCAATAAATTATAGATTCAAAACACAATCTATTCTAGAAAATGGCCTGCACACCACCTCAAATAGCTCAAGTTTTTCTGAACAAGAAGTAAAGTAACAGAATCCCAAACTGATGGCAAATATGCCTCAGGAATGTACTCATGCATGATGACTGAAATACAGTTGTTTGTGAATATTAAATATGCTGTAGTGTTACACAGTAAACATGGGAAACAAGGAACTTCTGGTTGCAAACATCTGCTGAGTATTTAGGGGGAAAAAAAGGAATGTATCATTTTCATTCAGAAGACAGAAAGTCAATACCTCCATGAACTTTAGAGATTGGATAAACAGTTATATCAAACCTTTGTCATCAACTACAATTCAACTAAATGTATTTGGCCATTTTAAAGTAACAAAATATCACTGCAAATACTTAGCAGTATGCTAACATATTGAATGACAGGCCATTGGTGAAGTATTTGTTAAATATTTTACTGTGGCAGTTAAAGCAATTTCAACCATAGCCCTTTAGGCACACAGATGAGAAACACATCTCTATTAAAAATGCAAAATTATAGGCACTGTACTGTCTAATTCAGGTGCTTTCTTACCATTTGTTTATTTACAACTAACTCCTACAACTAAGTTCTACATTGCCACCGGCTGGATTTATTTCCCTGTTCCCCATCCCCAAATATCCAAAGCTTATTTCACAGAGGTACATGGCTCTCATCATGTAAAAGCACAGATTGGTGGCAGATTGATGGTCTCTTTCTTTCTCAAAGTCATGGTTAGCCCTGGGACAAAGAAGCAGGCCAAATTTATAATCTGAAAGAATACTGAGAAGGCAAAAAAGCAAGTTGCACAGGCAGTGTTTACTTCTGCACCCTAAATAGCACTGAAAATGAGGTAGATAAACAAAAGTAATTGGACTGGAATTAAATTGGGGGTTCTAAAATGATACATCCATCATACTGTACATAACACTACATACTCAATCCAAAAATCACAGCAGAAAAGTGCCTTTTAAACTTTCACAGGTAATTTTGCTGTCAAACCATTAGAATTCATGCTTGATATAAAACTGGCAAGGCAGGATGAAAAACAGAATGGATATTTGTTATATTACAGAAATTACGTTAAATAGAGATTTAAGACTGCTGCAAATGTACATAGGGTTATTTTCATTAGATTTACACCAATACTGGTTTCATATTCTTAAGATCTTACACCCAATATAACAGACATAGCAGCAGATACTTCATGATGAAATACTCACATTGCCACATATGGGGATACAGTACTATTCATCAGACTTGCACTTTGAGAAGTAAACATGGTGGCCAGACATACAGATTATGTTCCAAATAAACGTTACAAGAAGGATGGTTAAATATAACCTTTTTCTCCTCTACAAGAAGGAAAATAAAAAATAACAGGTTTGTGTGTGTTTTGAAAATAAATAGGTAGAAGGCCCTTTTTATATAGTAGGCTCTTTGTTAAGTAAGAAGGGAAATTTCTGAGATTTATTTCAAGAGTTAATTATTTCTGGGGAGGGAAAATACCTCAGGCAAGGATGAAAACAGCACTATTATATGATTTAGCAAAATTATGAAATAATGTAAAACCCCTAGATAGGAAACTAGCCAGTATTTACAGTCAAAGTAACTATAATCTGAATCAAACATTTAAGTAATGAGAAAAGATAATTTAAAAACCCATGTGATGAAAATAACATTGTTTTCTTAATTTCTACACATATTCACTTTTTCTGTATTTTTAAACTTACACACGTTACATATACATAATGTATACATAACATATATATTATGCCAGTTACTGTAGTCAGCATGGAGACAACAGTACACTATTCACCATCTTCAAACTTTAGAAGACTACTTTTCTTTCCAGAAAAAACCTGAAAAGATTGTAAATATTACAAGGCACTGCAAAAGTCTGCAGGCAAACAAGAATGATGAATTATATGTAAAACAGAGGTGATGGCAAAATGCAGGACACATGATGTACACATGCAGCTATTAATAAATGTAATCACACATGTTGTCCATGGAGGGTTTTTCATCCTGGGGTACACTGTCTAAAAGGATTGTGACTAGAGAAGGGGTCTTAAAACCAGTATTTTTGCTTTATATTTTGTATGTCTTAATGTAATTACACAAAGCCAACTGTTGTAATGAAACATGGCCAGTTTTAAAGAATTATGGATTTTAGGAGAATTGTTTCTGTACACATAGAAATTACACTAATGTCCTAAAATCACTTCAACTTGCAAAGTGATACTGTAGAAGAAATTTGAAGAATCTGTACATAAGACTTGGAAAGACTTATCTCAAATAGAATATGTTCTATAAAAAGAAACTGTGGATTTTATCAACGGCAATTCTCAACATGCTGCCCTAGATGCCCCAAATGATAGAGATAGGATCTTCACGATAGTAGGTCTGATCCTCAGGTAAACAATATAAGACACAATTTTTTTTTGAAAAGGGGTACTGAATATCACAAAGTAGATTGTGCAAAAATAAAAAAAAAAAAAGAGGAAGAAGTGTACCCATTAAGTTTTTCTGACTGCCTGGCAAGCCCATGGGGTAAAATTTTTAAGAAATATGGAGGAAAATATGTTAACAGAAATGTCAGTTGAGGATTTGGAATGTTTACCAGTAGACAGAACTCCTAATTAGGTAAAGGTGAACTAGAAATAACTTGAAGTCTTCATAATGGAAAGTAGTTTGAACATATATACTTGGCAGTTGATAAATAACATTTAATATTTCTATTGGGTTTCACAGACTGAGCATTAGGTAACCCTGTGACCGGGCTTTAAGAGTATTATAGTTAACCTTCCTAAAAACCAGAGACATTTTGACATTGCTTCCCCTTCTCCTAAAACTGGATAAAACCCAGTAAAGTGCAACTTGACAGTGTTCTCTCTGATTCTAAAGAGGCTGCCAAATTCATCTAAAATCATCTAAGACATTATACATACCCGAAAGAAACTATAATAACTAAAAAATGGTAGTCAAAAAAAGAAGCTAAGGATAACTTAAATAGTATCCTTCTAGGGTCAACTATCTCACTGCAGGACACTGTATACCCTACATCTTTTAGAACCCTGTAAAGCCAGTGTTTCATGTATAAGTCTCAAAACCTACAAAATCTGTGTCAAGTAAATTTCACTTTAGAAGAATGGACTGAGGTGTAACTTGAATCTCCTTTGTTAGTAATACAAAGATTTCCCCCAGATGAGATTCATATCAGCTGCAATATATCCCTTACAAGAGAATGCAAGCCAAATCGATGCCTCTCAGATGCTCAAAACCAATGTAGTGTGCATGTGAGAAACAAGAAGATAGCTGCCTTGAATTATTATGGAAATCCTAAAGCAGCTATAGTATCTGCAGAATCAAGGAACTGTTACAGTTCTGTTTTTTCCTTTCCCTCCGCCTCACCCAAAACAAGACTTCACTCCTACTGTTGTGATGACGGGAAGAAAATCACATTAAAAAGGGCTCATGTTCTATAATGGTTGATGAAATTATTCTAATTTTATACATCAAAACATCTCCTGCAGCATATTACCATACATTCTGTGAAAAGTAAACTGAAGACAAAGATGTGCAGAATCCCAAGACTCTGGCTGTTGGAGGGTCTTACATCATTCATGTTTTGGGAGAACTGATCTAAATTTTTACGTATCTTAAAAGTATCATCTAGCTGTAGAAAGCAGCAGTAAAAAAATGGAAGCTTCTCAGCAATGTATGGAAAGTATCCTGGAAATGGTAATGCTCAGGAGTGTTTATTAAAGCATTCTGAATGGTATTTTTAAAAAATCAAGTATCAAAAAGGATAGGATTTGAAGTGAAAAAACATTTCTATGTGCAGTGTTCTATGTGCAAACTGCACATTTCTAAAGGATGATGAGCTGTACTGAATACCACATAGAAACAACAAAAATAATACAGTCTAAAGTAAACTCAAATGAGGGAAACTATAGCAGAACTTAAAAAGAAGAAACTTTAGTATCTTAGGTGTCCTGAAAGTAATTTTGAAAAAATTCTCCCTTTTCTTCATCATGTACTGTGATTGATTTGGGACCAGGAGGGATTGTGGCCGGATTCTGGACTGGTGAAGTTGGAAATACCTGCAAATTCATCCCTGACTGGAATGGTCCCCCAGATTGAATAGGAACTACTACAGACTGTTGTGTTGTTCCTGAAATTCCTACCCACTGTACTGGATACCCTGGCCCCCCAACAACATTATACTGACAAACATGGGACATTCCATATGATGATAATGGCCCAGGAAATGAAGGGAGTGAGAGTCCTTGTGGCAAGGAAGTTGGGACAGCTCCACGAATTTGGGACAGAGAAGAAATCCATGTTGATGTGTAGCCCATAGTAGATGAAGTAGTCTAACAAAAACAAAAATAAAAACAAAAGATCAGTTTATTTGCTATATGCTTTTTTTTTTTTTTTTGAGACAGTCTTACTATATCAGCCTCGGTAGAGGGCTGTGGCATCACAGCTCACAGTAACTTCAAACTTAAGTGATTCTCTTGTCTCAGCCTACCAAGTAGGTGGGACTATAGGTGCCCGCCACAACGCCCAGTTATATTTTATTGTAGTTGTCATTGTTGTTTAGTTGGCCTGGGCTGGGTTTGAACCCACCAGCCTCAGTGCATGTGGCCAGTGCCATAACTATTGTGCTACAGGTGCCGAGCCTACTTGATATATGCTTTTACCAGTCTATAGTACTTCCTATTCTTTTTTTTTTTTTTCCTTTTGGAGATAGTCTCACTTTGTTGCCCCTGGTAGAGTGCCTTGGCATCATAGCTCATAAACAACCTCAAAATCTTGAGCTCAAGTTCTCCTCTTGCCTCAGCCTCCCAAGTAGCTGGGATTATAGGTGCCTACCACAATGCCTGGCTATTTTTTTTTTAGAGATGGGGGTCTTGCTCTTACTCAGGCTGGGCTGGAACTCCTGAGCTCAAGCAATCTACCTGCCTTAGCCTCATAGAGTACTAGGATTCTTCCTATTTTTTTTTGGCTTACTATTCCCATTATGACTCTGTGTCTACCATTTCTGGAGTACCTTTTTGTGTACTAAGCATAATTACATACTTTATTTCATTTGATCTTTATAACTGCCCTGCCTTGAAAGGTAGGCATTTTCAGATGGAAAAACAGAAGCTTAAAAGTGATAACTCACCCAATACCATTAAATAAGTTAATAGTGAGGTGGGGATTTGAACACAGTTCTAACTCCAAGCCTATACTAAATCCCTTTTCACATTTTAGTCTCTCCTTTCCTATGCTAGCACTACTTTTCTATTTTCTTATGCCAGCACATACACTGATAGACAAGTATAGCCATCTTACTAAATAATTCTTTGGAGACAAAGGACTATGATTTACTGTGGCACAGGGGAAAGAGTCTGGCATATGGCAGGTGCTCAATAATTGTCACCTTTCTAACCCTACACACCCAATCTACTCATTATCTTACAAGTCTGACATTTATGTTACTTTCTTGAAAACTTAAATTCAAGATGAGATAATTATGTTTTGGGCATTATTGAGAAAATATATTCCTGCCTGACTCTTATCATATTGTATTATAATTTTTCATATGTACAGAGATTACTGAAATCTTATGCACATGGGAATAAGAAAGTCCAATAAAAGTAATTTTCATTTAAAGGAAAGCTTGCAGGCAGCCAAAATAGCTCAGCTGGGAGAGTAATTAGACTGAAAGAGAGCTTGGTATCAGTCTCAAATGCTTAGTTCTTCTAAATTGACTTATTGAGCTAAAACTACATTTCCGACTAAACTTTAAAGTTTCAACTAATCTTTATTTTTTTGGGGGAAAAAGTCTCACTCTGTCACCCTAGATAGACTCCCATGGTGTCATAGCAAACAGCAACCTCAAATTCTTGGGCTCAAGTGATTCTTTTGCCTCAACCTTTTGTGTAGCTGGGACTATAATGCCAGGTTAATTTTTCTACTTTCAGTAGAGAACGGGGTCTTGCTCCTGCTCAGGCTGGTTGTGAACTCCTGAGCTCAAACAATCCACCAGCCTTCAGCCTCCCAGAGAGCTAGGACTATAGGTGTGAGCCACTGTGCCTGACTTTCAACTAATCTTTAGTTAGAAACTTTTGACTTAAGTTAGGGTAAATGTTTTTAGTTTGACTCCAGAATGAATGACAATGTCTGTTGAGGAGAAAAACATTTATTTAAAGTTCAGCAATACCTTCTTCATATCAGTGTTTTCTTTCTGTTAAAGTAAAATTAATTCTTCTGATTCAAAATAGCACATTGAGTATGACAGCATTTTTTTTTTTTTTTGCCCATGCTAGAGTGCCATGGCATGAGCCTAGTTCATAGCAAACTCAAACTCTTGGGTTCAAGGGATCCTCTTGCCTCATCCTACAGAGTAGCTGGGACTATAGGCACCCGCCATGATACCCAGCTAATTTTTTCTACTTTTGGTAGAAAGGGTCTCACTTTTGCTCAAGCTGGTCTCAAACTCCTGAGCTCAAGCAATCCACCCACCTCAGCTTCCCAGAGTGCTAGGATTACAGTCTTGAGCCACTGCACCCAACCATGGTAGCATTATTTCCATGCATACAGACATAGAAAGATATCTGAAATTATATATATCTAAAGTCAATGAAAATTATTTCTGGGTGGTGGGATTTGAAGGTGTTATTTTAAAATTTGTGTTTTCCTGTATTGGCTAAATGCTATAATGAATATTACCAATTTACAAACAATAACACAATTTTATTTATTTATTTATTTATTTTTTTTTTTTTTTTAGACAGAGCCTCAAGCTGTCCCCCTGGACAGAGTACCGTGGCATCACAGCTCACAGCAACCTCCAACTCCTGGGCTCAAGCGAGTCTCCTGCCTCCGCCTCCCAAGTAGCTGGGACCACAGGTGCCCGCCACAGCGCCCGGCTATTTTTTGGTTGCAGCCATCATTGTTGTTTGGCGGGTCCGGGCTGGGGATTCGAACCCGCCACCTTAGGTGTACGTGGCTGGCGCCTTAGCCGGTTGAGCTATAGGCGCCGAGCCAACACAATTTTATTTTTAAAAAGAAAAATTGGAAAGGTTATAAATCTTATCTTGGATATTTCACAGGCATTACAGATTCAAATGCTCCAAACTAAATAAGCAAATCTTCTCTTACCAAAGCGCAGTGCTCGTGTTCCCCATTTCAGTGATTTGTCCACTGGAATGGTATCTAGTTATAAAGCCAGAAACCTAGTCTTTTTTATTTTTTATTTTTTGCAGTTTTTGCTGGGGCTGGGTTTGAACCCACCACTTCCGGCATATAGGGCTAGAGCCCTACTCCTTTGAGCCACAGGCGCTGCCCCAGAAACCTAGTCTTGATATACATTCTGTTATACATTCTATCACCAAATCTTGTCTATTTAATCTTTCAAACATTTCTTGAAATCTGTTCTCCTCAACTCAATTTCTCTTTATCTCTGGACTACTGTGATTAACTTTTAACTGGTCTGTCAACATCTACTCTTAACCCCAATAATACTTTCCTCTTGCTTTAGTCAGAATAATCTTTTTTAAAAAATATGATCATCTGAATCCTAGGGCTTCAATGGTTTATCCATCTTTCTTAGAATAAAGACAAAGTTCCTTATCATCACCACTTTTAAGACCCTATTTCCCTCCTTAGATTCACTGTGTACCCACTTGGTACTCTTCACTTCTGCCAAACTGGCCTGCTTTGATCCCTTCATGCTCCCTTCCTCATATGGGGCTTTTCTTTTGTGTATGTTATTTTTTCTGCACAGAATCACATTCCCTCCCCTTTTCACCTAGTTAACACCTACTTATCCTTCATATTTTTGCTCAATTATTAGCTTCTTTTTTTAAAAAAATGTTATATTTATTTGAGACAGAGTCTCACTCTGTGTCCTGGGTAGACTGCTGTGGTGTCCCAGCTCACAGCAACCTCAAACTCTTGGGCTTGAGCAACCCTCTTACCTCAGCCTCCTGAGTAGTTGGGGTTACATGCGACTACCACAATGCCTAGCTAGTTTTTCTATTTTTTTTTTAGCAGAGGTGGGGTCTCATTGTTGCTTAGGCTGGTCTCAAACTCCTGAGCTCAGGGTATCCACTTGCCTTGGTCTCCCTGAGTACTAGGATTACAGGTATGAGCCACTGTGCCTGGCTATTTTTTTTCTTTTCTTTTTTTTTGAATGTTACCTGTTGTTCAGACTAGAGTACAGTGGCATCATCATAGCTCACTACAACCTCAAACTTCTAGGGTCAAGTGATCCTCCTGCCTCAGCTTCCTGAGTAGCTAGGACTACAGGGCTACTTTTTGTAGAGATGGTAGAGGAGGGCCTCACTATGTTGCTCAGGCAGGTCTCAAACTCTTGGCCTCAAGCAATTCTCTCAGCTCAGCTTCCCAAAGTGCTAGGATTACAGGCCACCATATCTGATCTCTAAATCATCACTTTCCCCAGGGAGGCTTTCCTTACTAGGTCAAATTTCCCTTATTGTATATTATCATATATCATTTGTAGTTCGTATTACAGTTGCAATTTTATATTTATGCAAGTCTGTCAATGTTTAACTATCCTACTATAGTATAAGTTCCATGATGATAGGGAACATACTTGTTTTTACTCACCAAACCCATGTCTAGCAGAGACCTTGGTACATAGTAAAGGGCTTGGTACATAACTGTTGTGCAAACAAATATTTCTAAGTAAGAGTGTAACATGGAAGAACATTGGTAACATGAGCTCTCCACACAAAGATATAATCAATTTAACCTAAAAATACGAAAATAGTTCCATACATAGGGTACCTATGTAATATCTGTAAAGGTACAACTTTATAGGTATTATCTAATTTAATCCTCATAGCAGTCTTACAAGGCAAGTATTATTCTTGTTTAAAAAACATGAAAACTGAGACACAGAAAGATCAAATAACTTACCTAAAGTCAAACAACTTGTAAATGACTGAACTGAGATTGGGACCCAAGTCTATTAAATGACCTTCACTATTTTTGTTCACACATCATTTTCTACTTGCCCTTTCTCCAAATGTCCTCTATTACATTGCAATAAACTACCTTCAGCCAGCTAAGAAAAGCCTCCATTCATACAGTACTCAGAGGGTCTCTCTCACTGACAGTATAAATGAATTTATGCCTCAAAATTTCCCTTTAAAGGCTTCCATTGTAAAGGTGATATTATCTGTATAAACTGGTACCAGGAATAATATAAATACACAAAATCCTCAAGCCAATACATTATTAGTTTGGGAAATCTAAGATTTTGAAATTTTTTATTTAATATTAGTAACAAGTATACTATCAGACTTTCCTTACCAAACTATATTCAATGACTAAATATGTACACATATGTATGTACACAAACATAACACACATATACAGCTCTTTCACTTATGAAGGTTAAGATTTTAGGCCCTGATTCACATTTTAGTAGATGTACTCATTTTGAAAAGATGTCACTTACTTTAAAAATTCAAACACAGAAAAGTACAAAGTAAAATAAGGCCAATATTCCACCATCCAGCACATTTTTCATGGCTTTTCATATTTCTCTATGCATATAAACATATATGTAATGTATATAATTTTGCATAAATTATATTATACTATCTATGCTGTTCTATAAACCTGCCTTATTCCCACTTCAGAATGCACTGTGGTCACTCTTCCACATTTCAACTGCATGTACACCTGTCTAAGGCCACATGCAATAACTAGGGATCTTGTCCATAACCTTAAGATACCTATTATTCTAGCTTAAAGAGGTTTAAAAGTATCTTTCATACTGAACAAATTATATAAACCCAAACTCTTCTTGCACCACAGGATTGAATTATCCCTCACTCTAGATGCTTTCTTCTCTGACACTGTGTTTGTTTGTTTTTTAAGCTAGAACAGTCTAAAACAAGGGTGAGCAAACTATCGCCTGCCTCCTCTTTTTCTAAGTCAAGATTTTATGGAACAAAGCCACACTCATTTATTTACATATTATCTATGGCTGTACTAAAATAGATTTGAAAAGTTGTGATCCTATGTCTTGAAAAGCCTGAAATATTGACTAAATGGCCTCTTCCTAGAAAAAAATCTACTGACCCCTGATCTAAAAGATAATTTATTGAGAGGCATAATAAATCTAGACAAAGGTGAAAGTCCCTATGTTATCAAGTCATACCATTTTCTCATAGTGACTGTAACCATAGGTATAAGTGAATCAATTTTTATGGTTTTAGTTCTAATAAATAAATAGAATTGAGTATAAACAACTTACTTCATATACCTTGTTCCAGTTTTCTGTCTCTAATTTGTGTTGACTCTGTTTAAGTTGGTTTAAGCTTGGCTTAATGAGAGAATTTCCTACTGCTTCCTTTGTCCAGTCATCTACCAGCTTGTGCAAATCATCTGTGAACATCCCTTTTTTACTGGCTGTAGATTGGTGGCATGATGTTACACTACTCTTTACACACAGTGGATCTATAAAACAAACAAACAAACAGAGGAACCATGAAAAGGAATTCAAGTTAATAAATAGATAACTCTTCTTTGGCCAACAATGCAGTTAGCAGAACCACACGTGGGGTACAGAGTAGAGTGACCAAACTCTACTCGTTTAAACCAACCTAGTTTATCTGGGATATTCCTGGTTTAAAGCTGTTGTCTTGGAGTAATTACTCACAGTATTCCCTTTTAATCTCAAACGTTTCCTATTGTTTGGACAGCAAATTTGGATACCTTAAGGCATAAATCAAGTATAATAAGTAGGATCTCTAAATAATTGGTATAAACTCTAATCTTCAAATCAACTTCCTTGGATAGATGCTTAGAAGCATTATAAAAATAATCACAGAACGTTAACAATGTAAAGAATCTTAGAGGTCTAGTGCAAAACTCTTGTTTATAATGCAAAAATGAGATCCAGAAAAATTGACATGCCCAAGTCCTTACAACCAATTACAGACCTGGAACTCTAAAGTCTAGATAAAGACTATCTTTTAAATATAACATATTAACTTTCGATAAGCTTCAGGAAACTAGATTCTCATTTTATTCTTTAACCAATACTTCTGTTTATAATTTTAAAAAATAATGTGTATCAAGAATAGCAGAAATGAGGATGCAGATTGTTTGATGAGATTCATGACTCCTGGATCATAAAATGTTCAAAGAAGTTATAGAAATCAATTACAGAGGACTCTATCAGTGCAAATTTTCCTTATCTGAATATCATACCAAGTATTTAAATGATTACTTCATACTATTGTTCATACTTACAAAATCATTCTCATGGAAAATATTCATAGAGTTCCAATTCTTCTGACTGAATTATAAGCCAAAAATATACACAGTGTATCTAAAATCAATTTTAAATACAGTTGTAACATTTAAACACAATAACATTTCCAAAGATTTAATTAAACAAACTTATGAAAATATCTTGTCTATTTGTCATGGTAGTTTTCTTAATCATGAAAAAATATGGAAAATGCAAGCTATAACTCCATATTAACATCTTCAAAGTACTTTTCTTTATCTTCTTTGAAATCTATAACAAACCTATAATACAGAGACAGCAAATATCATTCTATTTTATGGTGAAACTGGAACCCAGAAGGTAACTACTAGGGTTATATGCTAGAGCTAGAAGCCAGGTGTCCCAAGTATCAAGTCAGCATGCTTTCCATTATACCATTCCCAGTGATGTCCTAAACTGGGAAATAGTTTAAAGCTGTTGTCCTGGAATAATCTTGAATGAAGATATTACTTAATAAGGAGGTACATGACCATCTCAATAATTTCTTATGTATAGTCTGTTATTTTCTATGAATCCTGTACATTGAAAGTTTAGAATTAAGGAGATTAAATATTAAATAGAATCATTACTGAAAATTGCTTAAGAAGAGTTTAATGAGGGTTGAATGTGAAAAAAAAAAAACAATAAAATATAGAGGGCTGGATGTGGTGGCTCATGCCTGTAATCCCAGAACTTTAGGAGGCCACAGTGGGAGGGTCACTTGAAGCCAGGAATTCAAGATTAGTCTGGACAACACAGTAAGACCTTATCTCTACAAACTTTTTTAAAAAAAATTTATTGGGCATGGTATCATGTGCCTATAGTCCCAGCTGCTCTGGAAGTTGAGACAGAAGGATTGTTTGAGCCCAGGAGTTCATGGTTACAGTGAGTTATAATAAAGCCACTGCACTCCAGCCTGAGCCACTGAGACTCTGGCACTTAAAAAAAGAATTTAATGAATGCAAATCAAAACTACTTTGAGATATCATCTAACACCAGTAAGATTAGCCCATATCAAAAAATCCCAAAATCAGAGACGCTGGCATGGATGTGGAGAAAAGAGAACACTTCTACACTACTGGTGGGATTGCAAACTAATAAGTTCCTTTTGGAAAGATGTCTGGAGAATACTTAGAGAACTAAAAATAGACCTGCCATTTGATCCTACAATTCCTCTACTAGGTATATATCCAGAAGACCAAGACTCAGACTACAACAAAGATATTTGTAACAGAATATTTATTGCAGCCCAATGCACAATTGCTAGGTCATGGAAGAAGCCCAAGTGCCCATCGATCCACAAATGGATCAATAAATTGGGTATATGTACACCACAGAATACTATGCAGCCCTAAAGAAGGACGGAGACTTTACCTCCTTCATGTTTACAGGGACGGAGCTGGAAAATATTCTTCTTAGCAAAGTATCTCAAGAATGGACGAAAAAGTATCCAATGTACTCAGCCCTACTATGAAACTAACGTATAGCTTTCATAGAAAAGTATAACCCAATTATAGCCCAAGAATAAGGCAAAAGGGGAGAGGGAGGAGTGGGGAGCAGGGAGGATGGGTGGAGGGAGGGTGATTGGTGGGATCGTGCCTATGGTTCATCTTATAAGGGTACGTGTGAATTTTTCTAAGTGTAGAATATAAATGTCTTAACACAATAACTAAGAAAATGACATGAAGGCTGTGTTAACCAGTTTAATGAAAATATTTCAAATTGTATATAAAAACAACACATTGTACCCCATGACTGTATTAATGTACAGTTTCATAACATTCTGAAGTTGAACTATGAGGTGTTTAGTGTGGATTTTCTAAAGTGTATTGCCTATTGCAGAGACAGGTACTAACCAAAGTTTTCTTTCTATGAGAACAGATAGTTAAATTTTATGAAGAACAGAATCAGCAATGTGAATTATTGAAAGATTTTTATAGGAATGCTGCATTTCAGTATGATATGTCAAATAAAAATGACTTGACTAAAAAAAAGAATTTAATGAATTTATTGGAACAATCACATATATAAGAGTTTTATAAGAACATTTGTTACTAAGTTGAAGCAACCATGATGTATTAAAATGACATACCAAGCTTGTTGCAATGCTTCTTTTTCTAAATCTTAAAATCCTGAGACACACAAATCAGCTTATAATACAAATACCATTATTTGTTATTCTTTTGCACATTCATCTAATTCTTTGCCCTTCATTTCACACTATGCCATTGAGGGAACAAATATCATGACAAAGTTGTGGAAGACTTCAGAGCTGATTGTGTTCTTAGCCTGGAAGAATGTTAGCAGGTAGGATTAAAAGGAGAAGACAGTAATAAACATAAACATATTAGTGCCCACTAATCTCTTCAGAATACTTTTTGTGCTTAATCACTTCTGCTTCTAAAAAGTTTGCTGCAGAGAGGTAAGTCTATGTGTCAATCACTTAAGAACATTTCTACACTAAGGGAAAACAACAATGTTAGGACTCTTGTACTCAAATATAGTGGAACAAGTTATCATGGATATTCAACTGGCAGTCAGTGATGATTGCTGTACTCAATCAATATCCACAAATCAGTAGTCTTTGTATATGCCAATAACAGCCAAGATGAAAAGCTAATCAAGGACAAAATTCCCTTCACAGTAGCTTCAAAAAAAAAATGAAATAGCTAGGAATGTACTTGACAAAAGAGGCAAAGGACTGCTACAAAGAAAATTATGAAACCCTAACAGAAGATATTAAGAAATGGACAAACATACCGTGCTCATGGCAGGGAAGAATCAACATTGTTAAAATGTCTATACTTCCCAAAGCAATCTACAGATTCGATGCCATCCCCATTAAAATACCAACATCATACTTTCCAGATTTGGAAAAAATAATTCTTCATTTGTATGAAACCAGAAAAAAAACCATACAGCTAAGGCAATTCTTAGTAATAAAAACAAAGCTGGGGACAACATCCTACCAGAATTTAGGCTATACTACAAGGCCACAGTGATCAAAACAGCATGATATTGGCACAAAAATAGAGACATTGACCTTTGGAACCAAATAGAAAACCATGAGATATAACTAACATCTTACAGCCACCTGATCTTTGATAAACCAAACAAGAACATACACTGAGGAAAAGAATCCCTATTCAATAAATGGTGTTGGGAGAATGGATAAACACCTGTAAAAGACTGAAATTGGATCCACACCTTTCACCATTTACAAAAACTGATTCGTGATGGATAAGAGATTTAAATCCAAGGTGTGAAACAATAAAAATACTTCTAGAAAGTGTGGGAAAACATTTGAAGATACCAGTCTGGGGGAAGATTATAAGAAGAAGACATCTGTGGCAATTACAACAGCAATAAAAATAAACAATTGAGACTTAATTAAACTGAAAAGCCTCTGTAAAGTGAATGAAACAACAAAGAAAACAAATAAACAACCTTCAGAATCGGAAAAGATATTTGCATATTATGAATCAGACAAAAGCTTGATAACTAGGATCTATAGAGAACTCTAATCAACAAAAAAGACCCAATACTCCCATGTATCACTGGCGAAAGATATGAATAGAACCTTCTCTAAAGAATACAGATGAATGGCTAACAAACATAAGAAAAAATGCTCATCATCCCTAATAATCAGAGAAATGCAAATCAAAACTATCCTGATATATCACCTAACCCCAGTGAGAATAGCCCACATCACAAAGTCTCAAAGCTGCAGATGCTGGCATGACTGTGGAGAGAAGGAATCACTATTACACTGCTGGTGGGACTGCAAACTAGGAAAACCTTTTTGGAAGGAAGTATGGAGAATCCTCAAAGAACTCAAACTAGACCTCCCACTTGATCCCGCAATTCCATTACTACGGAACTACCCAGAAGAAAAAAAAATCCTTTTATTATAAGTACATTTGTACTAGACTGTTTCTCTCAGCTCAATTTACAATCGCCAAAATATGGAAATTACTTAAATGCCCATCAACCCAGGAATGGCTTTATAAGCTGTGGTATATATAGAACTTGGAATACTATTCAGCCATTAAAAAAGATGGAGGAGGAGCAAGATGGCCAACTGGAGCCAGCTTTTGACAGAAGTTCCTGTCCAGAGGGAAGGATAATGACCAGAAAGCACCCAATAAAGCTGAAGACCGGGACCTGAGTTGAGAGAGAAGAG